GCTAAATTAGATGGAAAAAATTAAGACAAAATAAAGTTATCCTTAAAAATAAATTAATTTATATAATCTGAAAGTTTTAATTAAAGTATTAAAGATGGTTTGATTAATATCATTCAAGAAAAATTACTTCTTTAATAGCTTATGGTTAAATAATATAGGAAAATTGATTTTATTTTTTAGTATTATAATTTGATTGAAAATATTGAAATTCAAGAAAAAATACTGAAATCAATTTATGATTAATTTCCTAGTTAAAGAAATTAATCTCAATTAATGTTCTTTTATGCTGAAATAAAATATGACTGGAAAAAGGCATTTGATTAATTATAAATAAATGCTATTGAAAATTCTTCATTAAGTATTATTACAGATATTGATTTTAATAGATTAGCTAATAAAATGGCTTACTTGATATATTCTTATGATGATAGAAAACTTAAAATTATTTCTTATTCTAAATAAACTCCAATTATATTTGGTTATTAATAAAAATAATTTGATTTAATTATTTCTCCTTATCCTTTAATTCCATAAATAATAAGAGATATACATGATCAATATATTGAAGAGTTTTTATAAAATGGAAAAGCAAATTATTTTAGATAAGTAGCCTTTAACATTTGTTAACTTAATTCAGGATTTATTTAAGATGTTGAATTTTTTTTTGATCTTTATTTTGATAATAATCAATCTTTTCGTTTCATTACATTTCTAAACTTTTAAGAATAATCAGACCCAGTAATGTTGATTGATTAAATTAATAAGATTTAAGGAATAAATAAAGAATTATTCAAGTAATTGAATTTCCATCCTTAAATAATTGATTAATTATCAATAGAAAAATCTCTTTATAATTTGTAAGCAGATTTATTTATTCCTAATGATATATTAAATGGAACTTAAAATTTATGTTCTTTTTAATTTCACTTTCCTAAAGATTCATTTTTCTAATAAGAATTTTCAACGAATGCATAAAAATAAACATATTTAAAAAATAGTTAAAAGTTATAATTATATGAAGTAAGTTGTGAAATAGCAAAAAGAAAAACATACAAAATTATAAAGTTTAAGAAAATATAAGAAAATAAACGAAAAAATCTGGTGATTTCAGTTGATACTCTTGTACCTTTAAATAAAGACTTATAAATTAATAATGAGGAATTAATTGATCATCCTTATGAATTTTTTATTCAGAACAATTTCTATTCAAATATCGTCATTCATACTCAAAGAAAAACAGATGTTAGAATTTTAAACGATTTAGAAGATAAAAGCATTTAATTAATAAATGAAGAGAAATTTAAATTATATAACTATAGAGAATCTAATATTATTTATTTTGACAACAAAACAGTACAAATATTGGGCAATATTTATGATCATAACTTAAACAATTCAGATGATAATGTTTAAAAATGCGCACAAGCATCATCCATGGCTGGGCTAATGAAATCAGTTTATTATAGAAAATACACACTTGTTAACAAATTAAATAATTTTACTCTTGTTATACCTTTATTAAACAAATTATTTGGATTTTTAATTTTTGCTCTTATAAATTAAATCATTTTTATATCAATAGTAATTATTTATTTTATTTTAGAATATGGCTTTTTCAAAAAAAGATTTTTATTCTCTCAATTATTACTATGATTCGATATAAATTAATCATTAATTTATTGGGCCGATGTAAAAATTTTTTTTAACTCGTTATATGATTTAAGGTTACTAAATGCTGAACTTTAATTAAGCAATAAGTAGAGATCAGCTTAATTATTATTTAAAATTCATCAATCCGTTATTAATTGGATCTTATGATGAATTTAAATAGCACTTTTAAGATCATTTTTAGGATGAAGAGTTATAAGAATTTATCAAAGATGAATATGTTATTATATAATAGTAAACTTCTCATTATGCTCCTATAAAATTGAATGAATACAATATAACACTCTATAATGCTTTTAGCATTTTACTTGATGCCTTTTATAAGTAAAAATAGATTTACATTGTTCGCTAAACAACTATGGGAACTAATCCTCATAATACATATTAATACAAGAACTATATTTTATTTGTGACAGTTTTTGATAAAATATCTGATTTAATGTTTTAAGAGTCTATTTATAAGATTGATTTGGTTCTTAAAAAATGGATAATAATGGTTATTCCAATATCAATATCAGTGCTAATCTCTATATTACTACTTGGATATTATTATAACTAATTTAATCATTATTTAGAAAAATTCTTTAATCTTAACATTCATATAGATTAAATAGAGCTTAATGCAGATTAAGGAAGGCAATTATTTATTCTTTAAAGCTTAAAACAAGGATCAGAATTAATACATTTATACAAATTCAATTTAATTGGAAAGGAAGAAATATTAGAAAAAACAAAAATAAAAGAAATCAAAAAGGGGTTGAAAATTTAGGGTAATGAACCTAAAGAAATAAGATAATCTATTCAAATTTCTAAATTCTCTCTGATTTTTTCTGTCTTTTTCTTGCTAATCCAATATTTATTAATTGCTGGACTTTTAACCTATATAGGGTTTGAATATATGAATAAATTTTCTAAATCTATTCACTTTTTTAAATCAATCTCAGACATTGGAGTTTATGTCCCTGCTTCATTTTCTTAAAAAGAAATATTATATTTTTTTTTTCAATTTACTTATTATACTAACGATGATAGAGCATTTTTTGTAGAATAAATATAAAAAGCAGTCACAAAAATTGATACTTTCTTATTATAAGATATTGAAAGTTCATAATTACAATTTTCTGAATAATTTTTGGATGCTTACAAATATTTAGAAGAAAATAATTTATGTCCATTACTTAATAGTTCAAAGTATTATGATTTTGATTATTTTTGTTCAAATTCTTAGAATGGAATTTTGAAATTGGGGTTAAGAGCATCATTAACAAATTTTAATAGTATATTAAAAAATGAGTTAAGCATAAATTTCCAAAGTTATCGTAATTAACCTTCAAAAGAAGAATTAGAAGCAGTTTATTTATGTTCAGATATTATTCATGAGATTACTAATAAAATGGAAAAAGATATTATATCATAAACTAAAATTATTGAGGAATTATATGATGTATTTATAATTATATTATTAAATAGATAATTACTGCTATAAGTTTGACTTATACAATAGTATTGATAATTACTATTTAATTTTCAGTTTACAAAAAGTTTAGATTGAATCTTAATAGAACAAAAATGATCTCATTAATTTTCCCATTAGAAACAATTTTCTTAAATGATCATTTTGAAAGAGAATTAAGAAGGATGGTTACTAGTGAAAAGCTAATTTGATTAAGGTTATATATGAATTGATTAATTATCATTTTTAATAAATATTTAGTATCAAATATTAAATTGGAGAATCTAGAATATTTAATGATTTAATTCAAATTCTTAGTTATTATATTTAAATAAAGTAATTATATTATTATCAATAGCACTATAAAAAATTAATTTTAGTTTTTGGAAGATCCTTTCAAGATATTATGTATTTATAGATTAGCATAATTATATATGTACAATTTTGATTTTAATGCGCGAACACTGTTTTATTCTAATACTTTTATTCTATTTAAGATTAATTATATTTGAGGGTTGAATCTGAACATAGATATTTAATGTTGTTGAAAAAAAAATTTATAGCTTATTTTCTGTCTTTGATCTTTAAGTAGTATTAAAATTCATCAATCTTGAGCTTAGACATAATGCATTTTTTGGTTTTTTTTATTTTTGTTAGAAATTAATTTTTCTTAAAAAATATTCATAATAAATACAATAATTTTAATCTTGCAAGTATATCAAAAATTGTAAATTAATTTGCTGATTTATTGAAATTAAATTTAATTTTAATTGGATATCTCATTAATTTAGGGAGTCACCATCATTATTTTTATAACACTTCAGAATTTGCTAAAAAAATCAATCATCTATTTTCCAAATGAAGAATAATTCTCTAAAATGTAAAATAAAAGTTTAGTAAAAAAAGCAAATTTATATAAATAGAAAATCTTATATGAACTGCTATCCTTTAATTAATAGAATAATTAATTTTACTCAAATCAATGCTTTTTAATATACACTTAGAATTAAAGTGGAGAAAAAATTCTAACTAATTGAATCTAATATTAAATAGTATTTGATAAATAGTTAAAATAAACACTATCAAAATACTAGGAAAATAAGAAGATAATTAAGTCGAGGTATAATTGGATTAAGAAGGTCTCATTTTATAAAAATACTTATATCACTGAAGTAAAAATGCGAATTAATTTATTTATGGTCTTATTAATTAATTTGATATTTATTTTATTGTTAATATAATTTTATTTAATTTAGTAATCTATTTTTTATGGCATATATTGATAAATTTATAGATCTAAGATAGTAAATTGATATTTAAAAAAAAAGTATGTAAAGATCTTTATAGACTTTCTTTTTTAAATAATTCTGTTAGATCAATGGCATTACTCTATTAAATTATTTATCTATTTTGAGAAAGTTAATTCTTTTTTATCAATCGATGTGAGTATTTTGAAGAGGGATCTATTACGATTTTTGAATTATTTTAATTACTATTTGAAATATGTATTAGATTAGATACTGGATTAAAAAAGCTCATTGTGTGATTAAATTTTATAAGACAGTATGGATAAAATTATTAGGCTCGATAATATTCTAAATTTAATTTCTCAAATTATCTCTCTTGGTTCCCTAATTGATTGTTTTAGGATGCTGGAAAAATTAATTAAATAACGTAAGAAAGATTATTAAGTTTTTTTTTAAGATTAAATATTTTTAAATGACATTTTGGAAAGTGATCTTAGATAAATAAAGATTAAATATTTTGAATTATTTTATTACTATTAATCAATATTACATAAACAAAAATATGTTTATTCTATTATTTTTTGCTTTAAAAAATAAAATTAATTGAGATTTTATCAAATTATAATATTAAAATATTTTAACAAATGATTATCAAAAAAGATTTTTTGAATAAATAAAAATTTAATTAAAAATTAATAAGAATTTATGATAATTCAGTTCATATTTAACTTTTATTTTTACTTATTTTTCTGCTAATTTTCTTTATCTCACAAAGTGCCTTATTAATAGTTTAATCACTATCAGAATATATATCAATTTAAAAAAGTGATTATTTAACTTATTGTTACTTTTAAAATTATGGATTTTATTGATAAACTATAGGTTTTATGAAGGGAAACTCTTAATCAATCCAATCTTATCTCTCTGTTTGCTTTCCAGAACAAATAATTTTTTTTTTATTATTAAAATTTTTAGTTTAAATAAAAAGTTCCTAATTATTTGGTATTATTTCATCTTGTGCGTAAAATAAATCAAATTATTCCTGCTTTGATTATTCATACCTCACTACTAAATATTTATTAAGTTCTGGTTCTACCTACTAATAATCGAAAAAATAAAGCCTTTGTTCGAAAAAATCAATAAAATCTATTCTCATTTGTTTTTATTAACGCATCTCAGTAATTTATTGTTTTTTTGGATCAATCATATGTGTGCCTGGATATTTTGAATATGGATATGAAATAACAAAAGAATCTATTTATTTTCCAGACCTCAATTATTAATTTTTTATGCTTATTAAATCATTAATTTCAGGCTCTTCAATAGGAATTAACATACCTCCTTTTTCTATTTACCATTAAGCAATTTATGATTGAGTATTTTATCTTTTCCTGAAACCTGAATCCGGTCTTTTTTATTCTTAAAAAGTCTTAAAATATATGTCAACTGAATTTAAATAATCTTCACAATCATCAACTACAAAAACCTAACTAATAGTGCATTCTTTTTAAGATAATTCATGTAAAATTTGTTAAATTAAGACTTACTAAATTGCTTTTATATTGTATCCAAATAATTCAACTCCAATTAATGGAAAAGCTATTTAGGTTAATTTTAGATTTTTCGCTTGCTTAAAAACCTCTTTAATAAGATCTAAAATATGTTTTAAATTGTTTTTCAAAGAACTGGCATTTTCATAAAAGTTTGGGTAAATTTAAAACAAATGTCTCACTTCCAAATTTTATGATAAAGGATAATAAATGACATCTTCTTTAAGTTCATTTCCTAAATCCATTTACTTTTTCCAACGATTCTCTAAGTCCTCTTTTTTATCTGCCTACATTAATATATTTTTGATTTAATCATTTTAAAAATTTACATTAGAGTAATCAAAACTTTTTAAGAATTATAAAACAATCGCCTCACATTATATTTCAGAAATTTTACCTTAAACCAAATTTACTCTCTTATTTTCAAAACATAAGCAGCTTTTTACAGAATAATTAGGCTCAAAAGTTTTTAATCTTTGAAAATTGATAATTATTTTTTCAGATTTTTCCAGAGCTCTTACCTCTTGAGATTCCTCATTTAAATATTTTAAAGTAAATTTATCATCTAGAAGACTTTTTTTTTTTTCATATTTTTTTATAAACTCCTTTATAATTTCATTCACTTTTTCAAAATAATGTTTCAGTAATCCTATTTCTAATAAACAGTTTTCTTATTAATATGTTGAATTGATGAATGTGGATTCATTCAATTTATTTTTTAATTCATTTCCTAATTAATTATTTTCAATCTTTAATTTAATCGAAATTGTTTCTTCTTATATATTTTTTTTAATTGATTTTAAAATCTGATATAAATGATCAAATTATAATTTATTGCACAAAAGATATTTAGCTATCCCATAACTCGGCAATACTACTATTTCTCCATTTGTTAATTGTTATTGAAATTCCTTTTTGTAGATTGAATCAAATCTAAAATCAATATCTATTACTTGCAATTGATTTATAAATTTAGTTTTTATTTGTTCTTCTATATCTTTCTTTTGAAATTTTTTTTAATATATTACTTGAAATGTCAATGCTTAATAATTATTTTCTACTAATATAATTTAAAGTATTTTTTCATTTAAATTTTGAGGGTTAATATTAAACAATTTTTAAAGTTCTTTTGAATCACATTTTTAATCTTTTAAAGGTTAACTCAAAACTGTAGATTCAATATTTATTTTTAAATTCTACATCGTTAATTATTCTAATTATTAATTTATTTATTATCTTAACCTTTCATTATCTTAAAATTTTGTTGATATTTTAATCGCATAGCAACCAAAATTTGAGATTTCATATTGACTATGTTGCAATGATTAGTCATCACTTATATATTATGCTTATTCACGAGGAAGCTAATCTTTCAAAAAATCTTTCCAAATAGAAATTTGTTCTTAATCTTTAAATTTTATTTTTAAAAAGGGTTTATATATTTAATGTAACCGATTTTTTATTTCTTCAAAGTCATCTTATGGATTGGTTGTGGATTTATGCCATGTTGTAAGCCAGAAATCAACAAGAAATTTATTTGGACTTTTTTATTTTGGGTCATCTTTTTATATACTTACTGAGCTATATTTTTATTTAAGCTTTTCTAATTTTTCATTAAGTTCTTCTTAATCAGGAACTTCCTCAATTTCAATAGTAAATTCATGAATTTTTTCTTTAATATTTTCTTTGATAAATTTATTGAGTTTCGCGTTCATTGTTTATAAATCAGACTAATCTTTCTCAATAATCACATAAAGTCTATCATTCTTTAACTCTTCTTTCATCCAATTATTCAAGTAATCATCCAATTTTATTTTTGATAAATTTATTTAAACTAGTTCAATTTTAGTGTCTAAATCTGTTTCTAGTTTTTATTTTAGAGACGTAATCAATTTATTTTTAGTCAAACATTCTTATTGTGATTTAGTTGAAATTTCGAGTATATCATAATTGTTCAGAACATTTAAAATGTTATTAGTAAAATATTTCATTGATTCTTTTGGGTCATTAAAAGTAGTATTAGGAGTAGTTACTGAGCATTAAGCTGTATGATAATCAGTATTGAAATTAAAGCCTTTCTCTTTGGTTTATTTTTTTAATTTATCAAAAATAAAATGATCGAAAATTAACATTTAAATTCTAGGTAAAATTTTTGGATTATCTTATCCTTTAAATTAATAAACTCTTTGGTAAAACTAAAAATCTCCTTCATCAAAATTAATTTTTTCTATCTAAAAATCTAAGTCTTGATATTTCTATTTGAAATCTTAAATTTATTATTCACTTAGCATATGAGGAAGAAACACAGATAAATCAAAATGTCCGTTAGAATGAAATTTATTGATGAAATCTACAAATTTCTCCTTATAATTTTCATCAAAAGATTTTTCTTTAGATATTTAAACAGAGACTTTATACCCTTAAAACTACTCTGAGGAAGCTGAAGGTTTCGTTTATTTATAAAAGTTTTATAATGTTGATTTGTAAAGTGATTCATTTGAAGTTACTTTTTATCCTTTAGGTGATAATAATGTTTAAGGTATTCTCTGTCCTTTCCGTCCATTTTTAAACTAATCATTTGTTTAGTTAGGGTCCATAAATATAAATATAAACTAAAAATAAAAATAAAAATATTCTTTAAAAATATTATTCTCTTAAAGAAGAGTATAAAGGATTAGTCTAGTTTAGTTTCAAATAAGTCAGAAAAAAAATATTTTTAACTATTCTATAACAATACATAGAGATTATAATGATAATTATAAATAATTTTTAAAAATGGACTAAAAATTGGATCAATACATGAAAATAAAAAAAGCTCATTTTATAAATTCAAGTATAAAAAGTAAGAATTAGAATAATAAATTGATAGCAAATATAAAGAAGGATTACAAATTTATAAAAGAGATAGGAGCAGGTGGTTTTGGTGTTGTTTTCGAAACTGAATAAAAATCAACAGGTATGAGATATAAGTTCATTAGGTATTAAAAGAGCAATTAAAGCAATTGCAAAAGATCGTGTTGTTGATAAAGAGAGTTTTAAGAATGAGTTATCAATTTTGAGAAAGATTGTAATTTTTAAAATTTGAGTAGAGGATCATCCAAATATTTTAAAGATGTATGAAGTATATGAAACAGAAAAGACAGTATATTTGGTGACAGAGTAATAAGAATAATAATAAATATAATAGGATGTGTGAAGGTGGAGAATTGTTTTACTTTATAACAAAGACTCAACATTTAACTGAGATGTAAGCAGCAAAAATAATGAGATAAATATTTACAGCAGTAGCATATCTACATGAACATAAAATAGTTCATAGAGATTTAAAGCCTGAGAATTTCTTATTAAAAAATAAGAATGATGAATCTTCAATTAAATTGATTGATTTTGGATTAGCTAGGATTTTCAGAGAAGATGAAGTTATGACATAACCTAATGGAAGTCTATTTTATATAGCTCCAGAAATAATTAAAGGATAATATTCATATGAAGTTGATTATTGGTCATTGGGAGTGATTTTATATGTGATGATGTGTGGATAACCACCATTTCCAGGAAGAAATCCTTAAGAGACTATTAAGAATATTTAAAAAGGAATATTCACATTTTCAAAAGCAGGATTTAAGGGAGCAACTGAAGAGGTAATTGTATAACATTGAGGAGAGGTTAGGGATTTGATTTAGAAATTGTTAGTTATGGAACCTAAGAAAAGATTTACTGCTAAATAAGCTTATAATCATCCTTGGGTATAATAATAAGTTAGTCATGAATTGATGAATTTGAAATTACATGATGATACCATTAAAGGATTAGAGAAGATGATTAATGCTTAATAAATGAAGAAAACTATGTTATTATATTTAGCCACTTTTATACCTGAAAATGAAGTAACTTCTTTAAGATAGTTATTTGTATCTTTAGATAAAGATGGAAATGGTATGATTTCATTAGATGAAATGATCGAGGGATTAACTGGCTTTAAAAATATGAAACATAAGAATATGGATAAGAATTTCGTAACTTAATTATTTAAGGCTATGGATATAGATTAAAGTGGATAGGTAGACTACAGTGAATTTATAGCTGCATTTTTGGTTTGCCCATAATTTTAGAATGAGAGATTTATAGAAGAGCAATTTAAAAAAATTGATCAGGATAACAGCGGAAGAATATCTAAAAACGAATTGATGGATATATTTCATACTGATACGATATCAATAAAGGATATTGATATTGAAGAGTTAATAAAGTAGGCTGATTTAAACAAGGATGGGGAGGTATAGAATAAATCTAATAAAAAGATCGATTATTAAGAATTCATGATCCTTTTAAGGGATAGATTTGCTGATTAGATAAAGTAATGACTATTTGATAAAGTTATTAATAATTATTATGAATCAATAGTTTTAGCAGAACTGCCCATTTTAAGGTAGGTAATACGATTTCTTGACAGAACCGGATAACTATATAGAGAAGGGTAGAAAGAAGGGAATATAATCATTTGCAGATTATGTTAATGCTCTTAAGGAGTGCAAACAGGGAAAGATTCGTAGATATCAGACTGAAATAATAAAGAAATCTCCAACACTTCCTAAACTTGAACCTGTGATTCCAGAACTTTAGAAGATGAATGAACATTTTGTATTGAGCTCGAATAGAAATGTAGTAGGTTAACAATGTGTAGGTAATCAAACAGCAACTCCAAGATGTATGGTTCATATGCCATTATCAATTACTCGAAAGTCAGTGAATAGTCAAAAATAAATAAAATTATCTCCGATCACCTCTAAGAGTGCTTTTTGTATAAGATCTCCACAGGAGGAAGATGATGGTCTATTCTTGACAAAGATAGGAGGAGAGGAAACAATAAGAGGAATAGCTAGATTGTTTCATTAATATTCACAACACCATCCATTAATATAGAGTAATCAATGAAATAATGTTTTAAGAAATTGATGATCCTTAAATGTATGAAATGAAATTTGCTACATTCTTAGAATATATAATGGGTAAACCTGTTTTCTTTAATATTGAAAATCTAAAGTAGAAACACATTCCATTGTAGATAACAAATGAATAATATAACCAGTTTAAGAGTTATTTGATTGTAATTAATAAATTTAAATTTGAAGAGTAGTTTTATCAAATGTAACAAGGGTCCTCCTGAGTTGATATTTGAGTTTAGTGCATTAATAGAATAATACAAATATTGTATAATAACAACTGAATAAACATTTGCATAGATTTTCAATAAGAAAACAGAACATAATTTAGAAGAGACTCCTGAATCTATTGTAAATTTGGCTGATTAACATTATCAGAAGATTTAGGAAGATTAGACTTTATGTGAATATTTTATAGGAATTCGAATGGATGAATAGGCTAAGAAATTAGGTAAAATAGTGCATTAAATGATGGGATGGGATTGTAGTGTAGATTATGTATTAAATTATTTAAGGAAATCTCATTAAGCAATGAATTTAACTAATGTACATTTTACCTTGTTCAAATGTTATTTGATAGAATCAATGAAAGATATAGGATTAAAGGAAGATTAAATAGAATTAATAACATAAAGAATGGATGGATATCGTAGTTGTATAATAAATTAAGATTGTTTACTAGATTTCTACTTTTAATCTTCTACTCTATTTAAAGTTTAAGTAAAGAAGTATGAGGTACTTTTATAAAAAGATCCCAGATTTCGTAATTTCCCTAATATTCATGCATTATTAAGACATGCTCATTTTCTTCTCAAATACGTTACTCATTAACATTAACCATTATTAACTAAGACTGATCTTAAAACTTTACATAAACATTGCATTATTTAGAATGAATGGGTTGATGCCTTTAGAGACAACTTCTTTCATCTTATTAAAAGCTATACACTTGATAGACTCATTCTATAAGATTATGCTGATACTTGGTTTCAACTCAGATATATTATTATGAATCAATGTACTATTGAAAGTGTTGTTGGATAAAGTGTTATTGATTCTGTGTAATTCAAAATATAAATTAATTTACAAGATAATGAAGTTTATAGTGATCATTTCAGAAATGCAGATTATCAAATCAAATCTCATATCAAAAAAATAATTGCTTTTATTTTCAAAAACTCTTAAATCTATAAATCTAATGACTTAAGGGTCATCCATTACCCACTCAAAATTAACGAACAAACCTTTAATTTATTTGTTTAATTAATCAAATAAGTTATGCAAGAAGAAAAAGTCCCTCCTCATCTCGTCCTTCTTGCTGAATAGATTTGTCAATATTTTAAGAATAGCATTTGCAATCTGTGAATATATTTATCTAAATTAACATTACTATATTTTATATATAATTATTTATTATATGATAATAATGCTATATTCAATATTGATAATATTGTGAATATTATCTATTCATAATATATTATTTATTCATAATCTGTGAATATAATCTAATAATGTACTAAATATTCATATTAATCATTTATTTCTCATTATGTGAATGGGAATATCCCTCTTTGTCTAAGAATTGCCTCCAATGCTGATGCACTCTACCCCTTTTATCTTAAATATCCAGCCAATATCACTGTGCTGTTATTTTTATTGTATACTCCATTCTCATCAACCTTTTCTTATTAACAATCAATACTTATCCAACATTTATTTATACACTTGAGTAATCACTGCTATTTAGAATCATATTTGTATATTAGCACTTTCTTGGTACATATATATCGACAACCTATTTCTCATCATTGATCATTCCTGCGTTCTCTTGAATTCTGTGAGCCATAATATTAAAAAAGATTTAAATTTTTTTATTTATTTAATTAATTCCCAAAGCATAATCATCACACTTACAAGGATCAACGGATCCTGATCCTCAAAATATCATTATTCAACTAATATAACAACAATCCAACAAAATTGCCAGTTAACAACAGTTCCAATCTATAAATACTTTCTTTAAACTGGTATTAGATATAGAATATGTACAATTTATATTCTCAATTTCTTTTATTTCTATATTTTAAAAGTATATTTTATTTATTTATTTCAAAAATATTTTTTTTATTTATCTCTTAAATCATTTATTATTTTATAAACTTAAATCAAACTCTAACTCACATAATGTCCTTAAACTTTCAACTTTTATATTATATCATAAGAATATATTCTCTCAACCTTTAAATCTTAAGTCTAGATTTCAAAATCTGATTTTCTTTGTATCTCAAAAATGATTCCTTCTAAACCCATTCATTTTAATTAACTTCTTCAAACTAAAATTATGCTTGAATGCACATTCAAATTTTATTAAATTTTAAAAAACTTTTTGGGTTCTTAAAATAACTTAAATTAAAATATTTCTAAATGTTCCATTTTAAAGAATTTACTTTTTGGAATATCAAATTAAGCCATATATTAAATTTAATTGTAGCTACTTCCTAGAAACCTAATCTAATTATTCTATTAATTGTTTTAGTCTTCCATTTAATGATACTCCTATCAAGTAGGCTCAATTTTAATTATATCAATATATTGGTTTAATGAATCCTTTTCATTTTGATATTAGATTTTTACAATTTATTCCTTCTAATTTAAACTAATTGCAGAATTTATATTTTTCTAACTTTTCCCCCTATTTTAGGATGTTGTGATTATTTTTCCATTTCTCTACGTCAACTTAATATTTTGTTAAATACTTGTTATCATATCTGTTTGTAAGAGGATTTGACCTGATTTTTTGTATTTTCTAAAATAAAATCTTGGTTCTTAAATCGGTTAAAAAAGAACTCTCTTAATAAAGGTTTCATTTATTTAAGATGTATTCATATGAGAAGTAGATTGTTTTAATTTCCTCTAAAAATATACCTCTTCATTGAGATGTTTGATTGAACTTATTTAAAAAGAAGTTCGTTTCATTTATTAAAAAATATTTATATTTAAATATGCTATATTAAAATGAATTTCAATTTATGTTTGTGATTTGTTCTATGACATATAAATTAAAATAACATAAAAATTATATGAAGCCCAACCCTAATACTAGAACATTCAATAATGGATTTCGATAAAATTCAACTAATAGTAATGTTGGCTTAATGATTGATTAATAAAATTCCTTAAATTATTCTCATAGATTGGCAGAAGAAAGCTTGTAAATAGGAGAAGATGTTTTGGAATCATTTAAAAGACAAAATGATAGCATCAAAGTACTTTTTATTATAAAAATAGAGAATATAATAAAAAGTTAATTATACGATTGGGGATTTGGGACTATCTTAAGGAATTATTAAACTTATAGGATCACGAGATTAATAAGATAGACGCATAATTATATTTTTAACCATTTTATTGTTCATTTTTATAGCAACACTTTATTACGTGTTCAAATGATAAATTATGTATTATATTTCTTTAAATAATTTGTAAATAATTCTAAAATTAACATAGTGGTTAAATCTAAATTTCTATCAATTTCAATCTAGTGAGAGTATGCCTTAACATGAACATATATTCTAATTTAATTTGATTAATTAAAAGCTAAATATCCCTATTTTCGAATTGAAATTAAATAATTTCTTATCAATATCGACATTTCTATAGATAAAACATGACAGATTCATAAGTAACTTTTTATATTACTATGAATTCTGTAAAGTATTAAGGGAAATCAAGAATTTAAAAAAAATGTTAAAGAAATTAAACCTGTAATTCAAAATATCCAATAAAAGATAATAGATTCAAAACATAGAGATATTTTGAAAATTTATTTATAATATAGGAATACTTTTAAAAATTTAAGCCTTTCATTAAAGTAAAATAAACTCTAATTAAGTTGATAATTAAGAAAATCTTAGGTACCTAATTTATTCATTACTTAAAGAAATTTTAAGAGTTAAATTGATTGTCTCAAATATTTTAAGGTCTAAATCTTAGAATCAATAAATTGTAAAATTATATTATTAATTTATTTCAACATTAAACTACTGGTGAACTAACCACAATTATTTCAGTGTTAATTGGCTAAAGTAAAAACTTTAAATCGGAAATAAATTATTGTTTAACTACTTGCAATCAAAATATTTACTGAAAGAAAAAGCCTCAAAGCAAAAAAGAGCAAAATTATTTCTAATAGCTAATGAATCATCTCTTTGTAAGGTTATCATAAAAGAATAATGAAGTTATAGATTATAATACAATTTTAATTTTTGAAAATATAATTATGAAGTCTATTTTTTTTAAAAGCACGAATTTCAATCATATTTCATGAATTTAGTTGAATTTTTACAAAAAATTTTCAAGATCTTCAAAAAATAATGAGTATAGTAATTTATATTAATTAAAAATTAGGAGAATTATTCATTTGCATCCCAGCTATTCACATTTTGAAATTACTAAGATAATTAATTTTAAACCTTAAAAAGCATATTTTTGAAGGAATAGAATAATGAATTGTTAAGGGTGGTATACCAAAATAGAATATCAAATTAATTACTATAGAATAAACAAGCTAAAAATTTAGTAAATTTATGAATAACGGCATTCAGGATTTTTTCACTTAATTTTTTATTTTACTTTAATGTAAAACTCTATTAATAGAGATTATTAGTAAATTAGATAAAGAGGGTTACTAGATTTAATAGGTTTAGATATTTTTTATTATGAAATATCAAAAATAAATAAATGTTTGATCATACTTGATAAAATTGAAAGTGATGAAAAAGTTGCAGTAGATTTGTATCATAATAAGATGAGCTATTCTACGTAATAATAATTATTTTATTATATTCAACTATGTTATATAGAATTAATAATAACTTTGGTTAAATAGAATGAGGATTTAATAATAAAAGCCATTAAGTTAATAATGGTACTGTTTTAAGTAGAATCAAAAAGATAATTATGATACTGGAACTTAAAATTTCTATAATTAATATAAAATTAGAATGATATATGATTAAATAATGAATTATACTTGAAATGAGAATGAGAATATTCTTGAGTAATATATAACTTGATTAATTACTTATTATTTAATTTAACTTTCTAATAATTTAAGGTGATTTATTTATGTTAGATAAATTGATGTAAAATCACAGAGGGATTAAAATAATTAAGTCAAAGTCTTTTTGGTTTAAAATAAATAAGTTAGACTACTAAAAGAGTAAGAGGATAACTTAAAATGGAGTATATATAGATTATAATTTACTAAATTAGTATTTTAATTTGATATAAATAGATAATTAATTATATAAATAATTATACATTTATATGAAATCTAAAATTAAGGTACCAAATAAATTAACAGTGGGTACTGAAACAGATCTTATCTTTAATGATGCAGATTTTTGTTCTAATTTAGCTGATCATTTTAAATAACCTAAAACAGTGAGGACAACACATAAAAAAACAAAATCAGAGTTATTTTATACAAAAACACCTAACACAGCATTGTTTAAAAGTCGATAAAATGGATAATTATTAACAAGTTCTTAGTTATCTCTTTCTCGTTGTCCATCATTAACAAAATCTTAGAGGAGATTATAAGATAGAGAACTGAAAACAAAAAGTAATAATGTCAGTAAGGAGTATTTGGAAATAAAGAAAAGTTAAACAGAATAAGATATTGTTCCAATATAGTTGCTTTTTGAATAAAATAGTTTTTTAGCAAGGAATCATGAGTTATTGATAGATAGTATAACAGAATTATCAGAATCTGTTAAAGTTTAATTATTAAGCAATCAATATGAAATATAGAGATGGAAGGAGGAGAAGACGTAGAGTAATCTTGATAGTAAATTGTTGTTTATTTTATATAATACATTGTAGTAATTAGATAAAAAAATAATTGGATCAATATTTAATAAATAGTAGACTCCAGGTGAGAATTTTAAATTAAAACATTTATCTGATACAATGGAGGTGGTTTCAGAGATGATTACACTTTTAATTAAATAAGTGTGTAGAATGGATATTAAATTGGCAACATTTATAGAGTACTTTTGGAAATTTTGGGTAGTGTTAATTGATGTAGCAATGTAATGGATGGATAAAAGTTGTACAGATTACATAGAATATTAGATATAATAGTTTAAGTAATAGTTTGAAGAAGCAATATAGTAAAAGAATGTGACAGAAGATAAATTGATTAGGGCAGAAAAGGAGTTTAAGTTATAAGAGCAATAATATTAAAGAAAATGTGATGCTTTAGAAACTTAAATATTATCAATCTAATCTGAATTTAATGAATACAAATAAGCAGTGTTATAGATGAGTGATTTAAAATAGGCTGAGAAGAGAATGAATGCAGTTGGATTAAAGTCATTGGAATTGGAGAATTTATTTAAATAATATGATCGATAGTTATTTGATTATAAGAGTGATTTTTAAAAAGATTTTAAGCAATTAGGATCAATACTGGTACAATAAAAGAAACTGTAAGAAGATTTGAAACAACCACATCAATATGCATAATCAATTCTTCATATTCCTACGTATGTGGAGAATAAGACACTTTATGAACTATTTACTAATATGCATCCTTTCTGTTTGTATTTTAGAAAAATAGAAATACATGAATAAGATGATGAGAACAATTATGATAGTTAATTGATACAGTTTTTAGAGTATTTGACAAATTATGATAATTTGATGTAGAATGTTTGTGTAATATTTAAAGAATGGGTTAATGATAATGATCGTCTTAATCGAATAGTGAATCATTTATTGACTTAGAAAGATTACACATAACATTCTTTACATCATTTTTATTGTATTCTATTTGGTTTGAAAAATAATTAATAACTTTCTTGGATTTCAATTAGTAATCTAATCTGTTATTTTAAACAGTTGAGATAAGAATTGCATCAATAATTGAATGAGGCAATTTATCTTAAAGAATCTCATTATATTTTAGATTTGATTTTGCCAGAAGAGTTTATGGAAATTATCAAACATCATAAACTCGATTCAATAACTATATTGAGTTTATTAAATTTATTAGCTTAGTTTATGTAATAGACAGAGAATAAATAATGGAATAGATGGAAATTTCATTTTAAAATTGATTCAGATGAATATGATCATAATAAATTAGATTATTTTATGTAACTCAAAACATACTTAAATCAAGGTGAATTAAGCATTCAATAAAAGAATGATTATTTTGATTAAATTCGTCATTTATCTTAAATGTACCCTTGTTTATTTTATAAACATAAGTATATGATTTCAAAAATGTAAACTTAAGTAAGAAGAGTGTCATAAAAAAATGCAGCTTAATAGCAATAAAATAATTTGAATTCAAGACCATCTATGATGAAGAGATAGTCAACCTATAATGGTATGATTAAATCTCAAGTTCTTAGAAAGTGAATCGTTTTGAATCTTATGATTTGTATATGATTAATTGCTAAATATCAATTTGTACAAACAATTATTAATTTGTTATTTAAATAATGAATTTCATTTTGTATTTATAATAGAGAGAGTGTATTCTGTATCTTTACTAAAGAAAGAATAAGAATAAAATGTAAAGGTTTATTTGCTAATATTAATTTAATGTTATTTACTTTTGTATTATTAGGATTTGTTAATTCTTCTTGTCTTACTAGAACTTTTGAGGAATGTTTATCTCTTAATGTAGAATATCAAGAAAGTTGTCAATTATCATAAGGAGAGTGTAGACCACGACCTTTAAAGTGTACTGAAATAGATTCTACTTATCCATAAAATTGTAAAACAAGTGAATGTTACTATAGTAAAAGGTTTAATAAATGTTTGGTAATTATTTACATAATGTATAGTCTTAACCATTCACTAGACTATTAAATGAGATTGCAAATAGAGGAGGTTAGCATCATTAAGGTGGTTCTACTTAAGGACCTCATTAATCAGGACCATAATCACCATCATAAGGTCCAGTTAGACCACCTTAATAACCACCTTAATAACCATCTTAATAACCACCATCTATGCCACCATAATAACCATCAACAGAAATTACTCAAGAACAATCTTCTTAAAATAATGAGTATATAATTTATAATATAGATTAAAAGCTCACCAATTGAACTATCAGAAGAAGAAAATGATTCGGAAGAAAACTCTACTGATGATTATGATGATGATGAACAATAATGTAAATATTAATTACTTATAATAGATACTTCTTAAAATAATTTTACAAACCCAATTAATACAACAAATCCAATTAATCCTATGAATTCTACAAATTCAACAATTAAGTCTAATAGTACTGTTTCAACTGAGTTTAACGATACATACCCTGGATTTTAATATTTAATAGAGGAAGAAATTAAAGCTAGATTGAATACATCAGATGATAGAAAACAATTGGAAATAAGGAGTAGTGAAGGGTTATAGTTAATGATTGCCTTAATATTGATGATAATTTTGATATGAATCATATAATTAATTAAAAATCAATCATAGTCTTTTTATACTGTTCATTCTAATTATACTCCAATCAATTTGAGATTAGCTGAAGAATATTTCAATACATTATTACTTGGAGATGCGAGTAGATAATTCTTTGAATATGTTGAATATAGAGTTATAAAAGGATTATTAGAATTTGCTAGATTGAACATACTTTACAAATTTTATCCTTATAGCAATCAAAAGAAGACTATAAGTAGGATGTAAATCGGGTGTATGTATTATCATAAATAAATATTGTAGTAAAAACAGTAGGATTTAGAACATGGACATTCATTAATAATATAATAAGAGAGAACAAATGCTCAGTATTTTGAAAGATTATGGATCAATCTTCAAAACCATAAGTATTACACTTATTGTTTTTGCAAACAAATTAACTTTCTTAAAATACATTGATCATATTGAACAACTATGATTAGTACATATTAATAGGTAATGATTATAAATAAACAATCGAATAACAAAGATTTATCTGATCTTTTTGGAATCAAATATCCTGAATACTTAAGAGCAATTAGAGGAGAGTAGCTTTTATTAGAAAATAGCATGGATATAAATTATTATTGTTTATTATCATAATTCTTATTATTATTTTACTGCAATAATCAATTATTAATTGAATCTGTCTATCTATACATTAGTGTCACTTGATGTTTGAGTATCGAATCCTATTGGCATAAGAAATGATTATTATCTTGATAAATCAGTATTCTCTATTCCATCTTTAAATACTAATACATTGATTTGCTATTTAGAGTTACTGCTTATCTATTTAATTACTGGAATAACAAAACGATTTCAAAATCTCAAGCACTTATGGAGTCAATCCATATACCAATGAATTTATAAAACCTTGTAAACTCACAAAGGCAATTGCTACTTCCTTGAATGAATAACCCTTTTAAATACTTATAAATTTCATACGCTACTCTCATCGTATTTTTAAAATATATCGATCATAGTCCAAATCTGAGTAAGGAGAAAAGATAAAGGATAGAGAAATAATTTATTTGATTTCATCTACCAATAATTAATTAAACACTTACCTCTGCAACCTTATATAAGAAGTTATATATTTTTAAATAAAAATATATGATATAGAATAGTACTCCAATGCAAAGAACCAAATAATCCACCACCATTAATGCAATGCTATTAGGCAACAGCCAACACATTGAATAATTTAATCCATACGAATCCCAAGCAAATGGGTAGGCACTCAATATGAATGGAATACCTTCAAAAATGTGAATATTCAAATTTACCTATTGCAATTACATAAAACTTTAGAATACCAGGTAATTCTTAATTATCCACTATTGTGACGCACATATTGTAAGCAAAAATACCAATCCATATTATGCTTGATTCACGACTGTAATTCACCAGAAATGCCTGGAATAAACTATTTATGACTTTCTATACCATAGTCCATGATTCTCATCACTACTATTTATAATACTTGCTAGAGCAAAGAGAGAATCAGCAATTTGTAGTTGAAGGACTAAACGAAAGGTTGGGGTTCTCAATTCTTATATTTAGATAAATTGATTACTTGGGTTTGATAAAAACAATAGAGCTACAATGGTACTACTGAAAAGGGAAATAGAAGAGCATATTACTTTGATTTATATCAATTATTCCATTTATTTATATGAATAAAATTGAATGTATGTGAATCAAGTGTGTTATATATAGATGAAGAGTGGAGAGATTTAATGATTTAGCGAGATGAATGATGGATTGATATTAAATGATAATTATTAGACTATTTAAAACACGTTTCTTGTAAACAAATCATTTATATTAAATATCGAAAGTGATGTAATAAAAGGAATTTGAGGATACAATAGAGGAAGTTAAAACAATAAAGGCAATTACTCCAAAGGTAGAATGAAAGTGTAATTTTAATTAGGAAATAAAAAAGATAGTAAGACCTTAATTTGAAGCAAATCCAGATTTGTTCTATCCAACAAAGGTTTTTGATAAATTTGGGTTTAGTAGATGTAAATGTCCAAAATGTGGTGCATATTTTTGGAGACATACAGAAAAGAAGATAACATGTGGTGATTCAAAGTAATAGAAGATAATGAATAATTTTTAGTTGTGAAGGGAAATACTCTTTTATAGGTGTTGGAACAGGGAAAGGTGCAAAAGGTAATAAAATAACATATGCTGATGCATGGAATGGATTCAAGAAATCATTAACTAGTACAAGAGTACCATGTACAGCAATAGACAGATATCCAGTGGTAGCAAGATGGAGAAATGATGTTGATTATGTAGCAGCAGGAATTTATTGTTTTTAACCATTTTGTGTGACAGGTGAGATGGATCCACCAGCTAATCCATTGATATGTCCATAGTTTTGTGTTAGATTTAACGATTTGGATAATATTGGATTAACAGGTAGACATTATTCAGGATTTATTATGCTTGGTATATAGACATTCAATTATCCTGATAAATATGTATTCTTTAAAGAGGAATGTGTTGAATTTAATTATAGATGGTTAACTGAAGAATTAGAAATCAATCCTGATGATATTACATTTATTGAAGATGTTTGGGCAGGAGGTGGTAATTTAGGACCATCAGTTGAATATTTTGTTAATGGCTTAGAAGTTGGAAATATGGTTTTTATGTAATATAAATATTTTCATGATGGATCATATGAAGAATTACCTATTAAAATTATAGACACAGGAATTGGATTAGAACGTATTCCTTGGTTAGTTAATGGTTCACCTACTAGTTATTTTGATGTATTTGCTGGAGCATTTGCATTCTTAGCATAAAAATTATAAGTTGAATATTCAAATGAAGTTTGGAAAGCATTTGGACCATATAGTTGTTTATTGAATGTTGATGAAGTTGAAAATGTTGATAAAACATGGGAATTCATTTC